GACAGATAATATACCACACACGAAGAAAAGTACAACAGCAATGCGAGAACCAGGGAGGCATAAACAAATTGAAAAGAGGGGAAAACCCCTAAAAAACTTTGCACTTCTTTATTGAATGGAAGCCAAAGGGAAACAAACTAGGCCCTATTTAAAACCAATGACCTTGACGCTCCGGCATTATTGCTGTTAAAGGGGCATAAATCCCTCCATGATCTGACACGCAACCCAGATCTGATGATATTCATCAAATACTGTTATTAAATGATTAAACGCAATTACGACTCATTTTTACAAAGAATAAAGGTAATGGTAGATAGTGATAATTATTTGAGAGTTTGAGTACATACTCAATACGCTGGGACGTTTACGACCTCAGAAAATTGATCAAAAAAAGTTTAAAAATAGACAGTGAATAAAAGCAATAATACGTCCTAACGACAGGATCGATAGTAAATGTATTGAAGGTGGTAGTAGGACTATCTGGGTACGGTACGGCAAACGGCCACTGTAAAGCAGTTCATCTTTACTCCGTCACCATTAAATATCAACGTCATCACTTAATTCTCACTCGTCATAAAAAGCAAATTTGACCTGCCAAAAACAATTCAATCTAAGAACTGACGGCATGATAGAGTTTCTCCATTGGAAGATAAGATGATCGAAATGAGAAGATATAGAAATTGCACTTGTGGGAATTGCAGCAAACACAAACATTTCCTTCTTAATATCGAGAGCACCCCAATATTCAACTGTGAGTTTTTGTAAGGACTTTCGCCTCCAGATGAACGTATGTCCAAACCTGTAACCTTTCGACAATGCTAGGAAGTTGATTTCACCCACTTCTGTATTGCTCTGAAGAACAATTTAGTAAATACATTTGCAATATTGAAATGTATAGGTAATTAGTTATTCCCCGTCCACTTTCGTGTGATTAAGGCTTTTATAATTAATTCGATTAACTTACCTAGTGATTTTAAATTTGTCTATGTATGATAACAAAATACTATGTTTTCTGTATTTATTTTAGCTTAAGTGTTTTATCATATTTGTAATTCAGTCATTATCAATTTTAATGCAACTTACTGATTTTTTTTTTTACATCCTCCTGATATGTT